AACGATTTTCTGTGTTTATATTTGCAGGAGAAAATGACACATTTAAATATCTCTGTTAGTATGAGATAGATAATTAACAAGTGTTGGTAATAATTTTGAATTATCTTTAACCTTTAAATAGGCTATAGTTCTTGAAAGTAGTAAAAACTTTTAATTTTTTTTATTTAGTTGCTTTGAATTACGGTTTCTACAAGGCTGACTTAGAAGATAAAGCAAAGAACGTTGTGTTTGTAGACATTGGTCATTCAGCTACTCAAGTATCGGCTTGTGCTTTTACTAAAGGTCAACTTAAGGTAAGGTCTTTCTAAATGTGAGGTAAAAGTATCAATCTTTTGTTTTTAATAAGCAGGATTTATTAATTATTGATACATCTGTTGAAAAAGATGGAAAACCTGAGTTTTCTGTCAACAAGATAGAAAAAAGTTGTGTATTTTATTGTTTTGAATTTGGCAGGAAAATATTTTTTCTCTCACGTAAAACACTCTCTGGTTCAAGACCCATGATGTTGCTACAATTTAATCCTTAAATAGACAAAATATGAATTTTATTGTCTGAGGGAAACTGAAATGGACACCTGTTAATCAATTTTGAAGGATATAATAAAAGAAATTCTTCACACAACACTTGTGTGTTTACCAACTTATTTTTACCATCGAGTATGTATAGTAGGCTTGTAAGAAGAAAATTAAGACACCAATGTTTTTCTTGTCAGTTGATTAATCCCTTCCGTTGAATGTACATATTATTGGTATGAATTTATATTATTTTGGTCAAAGCAACTATCTCCGGTCACAAGACAGTACTGATTTATAATTGAATACTCTTCAGATGCTAGCTGCCACATGGGATACGAGTGTAGGAGGTAGAGACTTTGACAACGTGTTGGTTCGACACTTTGCCGAAGAATTCTGTACCAAGTACAAGATTAACACCATGTCCAGCAGGAAAGCTGTTATGAGGCTTCTGACTGAGAGTGAGAAGCTCAAGAAACAGATGAGTGTGAATCCGCACGAACTACCACTAAACATTGAATGTTTTATGGAAGACAAGGATGTTGTTTCAAAGATGACAAGGTCAGTTTATTGTGACCTTTTCTGTCCTTTTTTATGGAATTGTTAAAATCAATGTGTACCTCATCAAGAGACTGTGTGTCTAAACATCGTAGATAGCGTAGAGATTTTAAGATGCAAAGATTTTTAAGAAACATATTTCTACTGATTATTATGATTTATACCCTAAAAATACCAAGTTTAAATAAGATTTTGTTACTCTTTCAGAAAATCTGTGCTACAGAAGTTTTTATGGTAATGTACAGTTATCTTTTTTAGACTTAGTTTTGCATGACTTGATGGTTTTCTGAGTCTTGAAACAAATTAAACTATTGAAATGCAGTGGGTAAGACTGAGTCATGATGGCAGACTTGTTCATTCTATGACTAATATTTTGAACTAAATCGATGCTAAAATGATGCTTTACTAACTTAGTTTTCTTATTTGTTACTGGTGTTGTTTTCTGTGTCTGGAACACGAGAATGGCATCTCAACTATTTCACTATTTAAGCCTTGTGTTTTGTCTTGTTGTGTTTTAGATCTTCCTGTTCAGCTTTCTATGAATTCTTCTTCTTTCAAAAGTCAAAAAGCCTATAGTTTTAATGAAACAAATGAGTGTAAAAGTTTAACATGATAATGCTGGTCATGTTAGTACATGTTAAAATATTCATGAATGATAATTAATATTGGAACGTTTTTTTGGACATGTTATCATAAAGAAATGTTCCATTCATTGTAAGTACAAAACTATAAAATCATTTCTTAACTTTAAGTAGTGATTATTTATATTTAGTCATATTTTATACATGTTAGTTTGACTAGGAACACAATTCTAGGTTGTGTTCACTGTTTGTTGTTACTTTGGCTGTGAACACAATTCTAGGTTGTGTTCACTGTTTGTTGTTACTTTGGCTGTGAACACAAGTCTAGGTTATGTTCACTGTTTGTTGTTACTTTGACTGAACACAATTCTAGGTTGTGTTCACTGTTTGTTGTTACTTTGGCTGTGAACACAATTCTAGGTTGTGTTCACTGTTTGTTGTTACATTGACTGAACACAATTCTAGGTTGTGTTCACTGTTTGTTGTTACATTGACTGTGAACACAATTCTAGGTTGTGCTATTTATTGTTTGTTCACACAGAAACACCTTTGAAGAACTGACTGCAGATCTACTAGCAAGGTTGGAGGAAACAATGAAACAAGTTTTACAAGAGGCCAGTAAGTTTAACATTAATTGTTTTTACATAGATTCACTCTTAATGTTACAGCATAAATGATATTATCATAGTCTATTTTTTATTGTCATACTTTCAACAGAGTAAAACACTGTTATATTGTGTCTTATATTCCATTTAGTTACTGTTTATTTATATTTTAATTATTTTTATTTGTTGTTTGTGATTTTTGTATGTGTAAAATATTCAGTTATAATCTTATTGGTAATAATAACCAACAGTAGTATTTTATTTATGTTGTTTATTACACGGTGTGATGATCTGAGTTTAATTTGTATGTCTTTGTTGTTTTTTTTAACTACTGCTTTTTGAACATCTGAGAAGTGTTTATAATTTACAAAACAGGACGTGAAGTTTAAGTACAGAGAAAATTTGCTCCTACAACTGTACATTGTAAAATATTTAGTGATGTCACTGTAATTTATCATGCGTTAATCATATGGTTAGAGTATGTAGTTCGGTGTGAAACATGGGCTTTGAAATGATCATTAGTTGGCATAAAGCCAGTGGTTTCTAATGTTTAAACAGTGGTTATCAAGAAGACTGTCTGTTTATTTATTTTAATTTATCATGCGTTAATCATATGGTTAGAGTATGTAGTTCGGTGTGAAACACGGGCTTTGAAATGATCATTAGTTGGCATAAAGCCAGTGGTTTCTAATGTTTAAACAGTGGTTATCAAGAAGACTCTCTGTTTATTTATTGTAATTTATCATGCGTTAATCATATGGTTAGAGTATGTAGTTCGGTGTGAAACACGGGCTTTGAAATGATCATTAGTTGGCATAAAGCCAGTGGTTTCTAATGTTTAAACAGTGGTTATCAAGAAGACTCTCTGTTTATCTATTGTAATTTATCATGCGTTAATCATAGGGTTAGAGTATGTAGTTCGGTGTGAAACACGGGCTTTGAAATGATCATTAGTTGGTATAAAGCCAGTGGTTTCTAATGTTTAAACAGTGGTTATCAAGAAGACTCTGTTTATTTATTGCCAGTTGATAATCCAGCCATGATTATAATAATCACACCAGTTCTAAATGATAGCCATAATTATTAAAAGATAAAAGTGACTGCAAGGTAAAATTGATTCAATTGGTAAACCTTTTTGATATTATTCTCATGTGTTCCAGTCTCTGGGTTTGGAGTATAAGTGAAAACAGCACATACAAGCAGTGTTGTAGTCTTTCTTGTCATTTTATATTAGGAAATGTAATTATTATCACAAGCATTAAAATAAAAATTTGATGGAATATATAAAAAAACACATCAAAAATGTAATGCTTCCTAGAAATTCATGTTATTTGACTAGTTATATCTGCCAGCAGCAAACAACTTGTGAACCCCCCCTTGATCCAGCATGGCTGTCAATATCTGCCAGCAGCACACAACTTGCGAACCCCCTTGATCCAGCATGTCTGTCAATATCTGCCAGCAGCACACAACTTGTGTACCCCCTCCCCCTTGATCCAGCATGGCTGTCAATATCTACCAGCAGCACACCACTTGTGTACCCCCTCCCCCTTGATCCAGCATGGCTGTCATTTTTGCACTTAACTTTTAATTCTCAGCACGGGCTAGGTCCCTGGGACTGACCTTGTAAACCATTTTGTGCTTGTTCTAGTTTTCATGCTATAACATTTAAATTAGTAAGTGTATGTTCATGAAATTTGGCAGATTATCAGTAATCATTACAAGGCTTTCATATGCAAAATATCAGATTTTTTTTATTAAGTTTTAAGGTTTTTTAAGCAGTGTTTTCTCATGCCTTTTTTATTTTTGTATGTTGCCTATCCAACATGTAAAGTGATTTTCATTTTAAGATTAAAAATACTTTTATACATCAGAAAATGTTCAAGTTTCACATGCGAAATCTTTATAACTTCCAGACAGTTATCAAACACTTCTTTAGAAAAAACTTTATATTTTATCTGTTATTTTCACTAATGAATCTCTGTACAGGTTCAGTCAAGTTGACCAATCTCGTAACCACCAAAAAAAATTAGGAAATAAATATAAATTATGCTTTGTTTGTTCTAGAATGACTACAATTTATAACATGAAAACACAAATGTTTAGACTAAATAGCTTAAATCTCATAACAGTATACATGTGTATATATATATATTTATTGTTTGTATTATATTGACATTTCAGCCATGCCTGTCTAACAATACAGAAGTTACAATGATGAGGCGCACGTGCACTCGTGTTACCATATCCAATGATATAAAACTGACCGTTAGTCTTTACAAAGTGACCTGTCTTGACTAGTGTTTTGTAAAATACAGTCACATTTGAATTATTATACATTATGTATGTATATAGATTATTACTATTTATAAATAAGTTCTTAAACTTATTTTTCATAAAACACAGAACAGTAAATAAAGAAGTAAAG